TATATACTTTTAAATATTAAGCTTTTAACTTAATATTTCAATAATTTAACAACACATTCGCATGTTCTCGGTTCTCGGATGTTGACTAAAGGTCACATGACATGCAGGTAAAGAAATAAAATATTTAATCTTTTTTAGTAAGTGTTTTATTTTGATTGTTTTTCATTTAAAATGATTTATTTACAGTATAGTGCTGGAGGATTTAGTTACAAAAATGATGTTGTGATTTATTTTGTATCATATTGTGATTTGAACTGCCATAAGATAAAAATGTAATCTTTATAATATAGTGTCTCATACTGCTGCTGCTGAAACATGCAGGCCAAAACAATGTTTTAATATCAACATTCGTTATTGTTTTTTTAATAATTGTTTGAACTCTAACTCAAACTAAATCTAAAAAATAAAAATATTATTGTAACAATGCAGTTGTGCTTTGAATAAAAATTAATACTTGATAATTGTATCACTTTATTTTTCGTTATTTTAATTATTTTTAACTCATTTATACAAAATAAAAAAAGAAACTATTGTAACAATGCAATTGTGCTTTAAAATAAAAATGAATGCTTGATAATTATAATTTTACTGTATTCTACTACAAGTTACAATACAAATGTCTTAAATTCTTCACTTTTAAATGTTAAACCTTAAGCATATTTATTGGTGGAAAACTGCAGGGAAACCTTTAAGCTTGTTTAGTTGACAAGAGGTTTATGCGCTTCTTGTTACAAATCTGGTAACGCGCTGTGACCTTTCTACAAAAATGTTGGAAATTATGCAAATGTGAAAATAAATTGATCCTGGCACATGTTGCGTTATAAACAGAATGCAGTTTTTGTAGAGAAGCATTTGTTGTAAACCAAGCTGCTCTGAGACACTGGAAACATTGGATCATGAGCTGTAAATGAATACATTGCATCACTTTCAAACATACTAAATTGCATTTGATAATCGCATTAAGCCATATTGCAGTTTTTATTTTATTTTGATTAATTGTGCAGCCCTATTTATTTATTTTTAATCTTACATTTTTATGATTTAATTAATTATTAGCTTTTCATTTGCTGGGCTTCCATCCAAACGTGAAGCGAATCTTTTCAAAGTTCGCAAAAAAACAAACAAATGCAAATTAGGTGCGTTTCCATCAAGTTGTTTGAGCGGATGACGGTAGTATTGATAACCTAGTAACCAACAGTAAGTCACGTGTGTTTAATATTCGCTATGTCAGAAATTATTCGGCAAATGCGTTTCCATCTTACATTATTCGCATTAACTCGCACAAGTCAAAAACCACCTCAAGCGAATATAAAAACGTTTTGGCAAATTACGTTTTTTTTTTTGTTTGTTTTTTTCCGAAATTTGGCATTTCCATCAGTTGTTTCTGATGTGATACCTCAAAATGCGCATAAAAACGTGGTGATGAAAACAGCTAGTAACTCACAAACCCCTAAGGGGTACGATATCTGGTATATCAATATATAGTGATACAGAAAGTTCTCTGATTAGTGAATCTTGCTTCATAATTGTAGATAATGTATTATTTCATTGCTAATTTGCCATTTAATCAGATAAAAAAAAAAAAATAATGAAGTTAAAATTACACTGGCTTGTGAGCTCAGAGCTCATGTCTGTTTCTAGAGATTTAATGGATTTTACTTCCGCATTGTTGTGCTCTATGCACTGGTCCATGGCGACCAGTGACCACTGTTAACTGTTGACTGTAGAGATGCTGTTTGTTTGCCTGGCACCCATGCAGAGGTTTGCAGGAGCCCAGTTGCTGTAGGCCCCAAGAATGTGTCTCCTCTCATGTGACCTATAGATCCTGCAGCAGTCCCGTGCACATCTCACTATGCAGGGATAACATGAGAATCTGTCACTGACACTGAAAGAAGCTCATGCAAACAAAGAGAGAGATAGCGAGAAAAATGAGAGGCCGAGACGGCCTTGCCCCCTCTCGCTCTGCTTCAAATTTCCACACTTATTAATGCGCACACTCGTGCATGCACAGTGTGCGTTATTGTTGTTATGACAGCTGCATTCTCCCTTTGCAATCAACCTATTGCATGTTGCATGGTCATTTATGTGATTAAACAACTAAATTGGCTTGTTATTCAGCATCCAGTGGAGTTTGGTGTGGTGAGGTGCAGTCTTCTTCTTGTGGGCATGTGAGACCGAGTATAAGGGGGATTATAAAAGCTTCAGCACACTGTCAGGCTTTGATTTGGCTGGGGGATGGGGGAGCTTTGGGGTTAGTGGCTTCCTCTGAATCCAATTTAAAACCTGTCCTGACACCTAATAGCAGGCAGAATCACAAAGGAAACGTGTGCGTGTGCTTCTGATGAATAAGTCTCATTGCCGACATGTTGTTTTCCTCATTTGCTGTAATAAGATTTTTTTTTTGTTTTTTTTTGGATGTCATAGCAAGGGATGTTTGGGGTCGTATTTTGGAGTAGATGTGTTACTTTAGTTAGCTTGGGTTTGACTTTAAAATGAAAAATATTTCTTTTGTAGTTCAGTTGTTGTGGTGCATTATGGGACTGCCTTTAATGCAAAGGATGTTTTAATGTCATTTTTTGCTTTAATTTAATTTAGTAATCGTTATCCTCCAAAATGAAGATGATGTGCAACAATGACCTCCCACTTTATTTATTTATTTCCTATTGGTTTTTCACAGAATGCTTAAATAATTTTTTTAAACGTCACATAAAAAAAGCTTTTATCCAGCTCCTAGATCAGATATTCCTAAAGTTTTTTTTGTCAGCTAAACCCCTTTGACACAGCAAAATATTTTCTTGCAGTACCCCTTGAGATTTTAGCGTAATATTTTAATAATTCAACACAGTCAATGTTCAGAGTTATCTGATGTCGGCTAATGGTCACATGACATGCAAGTAAATAAATAAAATATTTAATCTCTTTTAGAAAGTGTTTTATTTTGATTGTTTATAATCTAAATGTATTTATTTACAGTATAGAGCTGCAAGATTTAGTCACAAAAATTGTGTAGATTTTTATATTGTGATTTGAACTGTGATAGATGATTTCCTCATTTGCTGTATTATGATTTTTTTTTTTTTAAGTTATGTAGAGGGTCTTTGGGATGTTTGGAGTCTTATTTTGGAGTGCATTGCTTTTGTTATCTTGAGTTTGACTTAAAATGAAAAATATTTCTAAAAATAGTTCATAGTTCAGATGATCCTTGATCCTGGAGTCGTTCTGTTTTGTTGAGCTTGGCAGATCATGGATCTGTGGAAAAAAGGTTTGATTTGTGTTGTTTTCCCCTCCCTTCAGCATATGCTAATGAAGCAGCAGGATCGCATTGACGATCGAGTGAAAGACATCGAGGAGCAGCTGTATAAGTTAGAGTCTGACAAACTACTAGTGGAGGTAAGGAGATGTCGATAGGAGCATGCACACACACACACACACTTCTGTCTTCCTCTGTCTATCTGTCTGCATGTGTCTCCCCTCACCCTCTACTGCAGCTAATGAATATGTAAGAGGCTGGTTTTGGTATGACATTGGCAGTGTCTGTGCTTAAGCCTTGTGTGGACCTTTGTGTCTCCCTGTTTGCAGTTTTATTTTTGTTGTTTAAGGAAAATTAATTAGACAAGTATGTTGTACTACAAAACAATACTGTCAAGGAGAGGTCTTGTCAAATTCTCCTTGTTTTGAATATGGATCTCTGTTAGCTTTTACAATAGCTGCTGGTTTTCCTGAGATCCACATAAAAATATAAAAATAACAATTACTATTGAAGATAAGTTTTAAAACAACAGAAATAAGAAAAGAAAAAAATTAAATCTAATGGATCTAATGCAATCAAATCATAAACACATTTCATTCAACCTGCATACATGAACAACAAAAGTGATTAGTTAAGTTGTGCCGACACAATGTGGAATGTTCTCATATTAAGCTATGAAAACAAAATTGTCAGGATCAAAATCTGAACTTTTTATGACTGACTCATCTCGACTGACATAATGACCTGCACGTTTTGACATAAATATGAAAGTGTTGTTAATATTAACTGAAACGAAAACTATAAAAAAAAAAAAACGTTTTCATTAATTTAAAAAAAAACTGAAATAAAATACAATGTAAATATTACATGAAATACCTAAACTTAAAAAACTCTTGAAAATTAGAAGCAGTCTTGGCAACTAACTGAATAAGTTGAAGTTGAAGTACTGAAATGACTAAAACTTAATAAAATAAAACTAAATAAATGAATTTTTTTAAATGGCAATAGCACATAACAAATTTACTAAAACTTCAGTTGAAATTAAAATGAAAACTTAAAACACAAAAACAAAAGCTATTTCAAAATAATAATAAATACTATGAGTATATAAATAATACTAAAATAATATTGAAATATGTACAGAAATTAGGACAAATATCTAAGCAAAATGCAGTTTAATGGTAAAAAGTTTACCTGTATACAAGCTTTTCTAAAATCAAAAGGTGTTGTGTGGTTCCAGATGATCTTGTGAAAGTATATTAAGATCTATAGAGTATATTAAGAAAGTATCTTAAATATAATTTAGATAGCACAGATACTCAATTCAGGTTGATTTATTAATCACCTTTGTCTCTGATGTTTCTACTAAAAGTTATCACGATAATTTTACAATACAATAAGAATATAGATCTATAAAATCAGTGTGGGTAGTATAGCTCAGATAATTTGGTTTTGGGAGAATGTTAATGAGAAGTTCTTATTAAAATCCTTGTCTTTTGATTGCATGTTAAAGTCTGAGCACAGTTTAAGCCATTGTTGTGATTTTTTTTTTCTGAAACTAGAAAACATGTGAAATTGCTGGGGATTTTTCTCAGAGTAAACATCTGAGAAGCAGACAAAATGAAACACAACTCTTCATTTATTTTCAATTTCAAATGACTGAGACATCAAAAAGATATCTTTAGTGTTATATTCAGTTTCCTTTCCTACAGAGAGCTATTTGTTTAAGTGTTCACAGTGAGGGAGACTATAGAGATTCAGTATGCGCCCTTGTGTGTGTGTGTTGTGCAGGATAAGGTACGGCAGCTGAAGAAGGAGGTGCGTGTGCAGTATCACAAAATGCACCAGCTCTTAGAAGATGACCTGGGGAGAACTCTAGAGGTGCTGGATAAAGCACACTCCAAATACTGCCAGGAGAACTCGACCCAAACCCTCCAGCTCAATGAACGCCGTCAGGAGGCCAAGAAACTGCTTAGCTCTGTCCAAGTTGTGTTTGACAAGGCAGAGGATATTAACATTATGAAGGTGAGGTCGATTCTGTCTTTCATCTGCTCGTCCTTCACTGTCTATGATATCCCACAATCCTGAGTGTGTTTTGGATGCTGCTGTCTGAAAAAATGCTGTCTGATGAAGTGTTTGAAAGAAGTAAATTAATTCACAAATGTCATTTTTGATTAATGTAAACAACTTTGAATTTATAATTCTTTTGTTTTCCACATATAATTCCATGTCTAGCAAGAAAAAAGCAGTGTAGTGATTAAATATTGCCTGTTTTCGATTATTAAACATGATGTCATGGTGTCTTGGAAATTTGTCTGAAACCAGTTTCCTTCATATGAAAGCACTGTCTGTCTAACTGGGCAGTAAGGCAGCTGCCTTGGTTTTCGGACACAGTGAATATTTCCTTGAACACACTCCCATCTGACTTATGCTATAAATCCCCTTGCTCTCACCCACATACTCTCATAAACACACAGTGTGAATGTGCCCATACCTGTGAGAAATGTTTCCCTGTCTGTGTGTGGTTGTTATCAGCAGATCTGCACTTCCAGATTTTTCCATGTTTACAGACAAAGAGGCAGTCAAGCAGCAGCTTGTAGACTGCAGGGAGATTAATATTTTGTTCTGTTCTGTTTTGCTTTGTAGAACACAAAACCAGTGAAAATACTCATGGACAGGTATGCCGTTTATGAGCCAAACTGCAGAAATGTATATGTTGAATACTAAATCACATTTTGAATATGTAGTAATCTGGTCATGTGTAATGGTCTTTTTACAGATCACAGTCAAGCACGGGCAGTGTTCTGCCTCCTTGCAAAGTGGGTCATCTTAATTCCAAAATATTCCTGTCTGAAGTCTCAAAAAAGGAAAAGAACTTGCGAAAAATACTGGAAGGTGAGTAAAAACTGGAGTGGTTCAGTGACAATTGGTGGGTCGCACATCTTTTCTAATTGGATCATGGATTCTAGGATAAAACAATCGTGAATGAAAATAACAAAATGCCACTAGCCACATAATCATGCGTAGTTATGATAGTACATTTTTTGCCACAAATTTATGTCACTTGGTAGAAGCAAGCCAAATTAGAAAGGTACCCATATAGAATTTTTTGCACCTTTTAAATTGAAAATGCAGTTCATACATGCATGAATTCACCTACTTTATGACGAGCATGTTTTAAATTTCTTAATTAAACTTAAATGAGATCTTTTTAGGGGCATAAAATACAAAATGTTAGGCTTATGCGGTGCAAACAACATTGAGAAACATGCAAGAACAAAACAGGTCAATAGGTCTTAAATATCAGATCATTTGACCTTGTTATCTGTAAAAATACTTCTTTCTTAAAATTTTTATTTAAGGATTAAGATGTGTACGCTCACATTTATTCAAGGTGTGAATGTTGCTGTCATGAAAATGTCAGTTTTTCCTTGGCTACACCATGTGACATTGGAGCCATTATATTGAAACATTTCTTAAAGCCTGTCAAACCCATATGAAACTAACATAAATATAAAAAGTACAATGACGTTTAAATACAATGACAATTTTTCATTTTCGTTATCTTTTATTCATCATTGACCCTGGAATGCCCTCATCCTCAAGAATCAAACAAACAAAAAAAACCATGCAAGAAACCATTATTGTTGTTGTTTCTTTTTTTTGTCTGATAAACAATATTTGGTTGATAGTTTGTAAAATCTAGGTCCTTAAGCACAACCATTTGAAAACCACTGTCAAAATGTTTCTGTTCAACATAGTTTTTTCCACAAATCAAACTCTTTGTCCTCGTCCCCTTGTTTCCAGCACCATTCAGTACTCCTGCGCACTTCCTCCAGAGCGTTTCTGTCCACTCCTCCAGTGTGAATACCTCCGGGGTTGAGAAACGCAAACACTCCACGGCCTTCCCTGAAAGCAGCACCAGCCTGCTGGAGTCCTCGTCAGGCCCCATGAGCAAACAGCAGTTCCTGGGTCAAGGTTCCAACTCCATAGACGGGCCGGCGTCGCAGCCGCCCATGGCTCCCTGTAGCTCCACCCAGCACATTGTAGGCCTCAGCAGTAGCAGCAGCGCCCAGTCTGTCCATCATTCCAGCTCCGTTTTTACTCCTGCTGACTACCCCAACCCCAGCTCGTCCCAGCAGGCCATGCTGCCGCAGTACGGCGGCCGTAAGATTCTCATGTGCACGATGGACAACTGCTACTGCTCTAGCGTCCCCTCCATATCGAACCACCATGGCCATCCTCCCTACCCGCGCTCGGGATCTTTCCCTTGGACACAGGACTACACCCACCCCCTGCCCTCCACGCCCTCAATGTCCCAGCCTCTCCAGGGGCTCTCCATGCACGACTGGATTGACGCCTCACAGAGCCACAGGCACCCTGATTTCTATGGATTGTACGGCCAATCTTCCACTAAACCATACGTCACCAGTTAACTTCCCCTGCATCTCTGGTTTATCTCCAATAACTCGCCCATTTCCTTAAGGTTCGGTCACATTTGCGAAATTTTGTGTGCAAAAACAAGTCCATTGTCAATAGCATAGAGATGAATGAAGCACAGCTCACACAGAAGTCAGTTTCAAACCAGGCGAATCTGCATGACCAACTTGAACATGAGCGAAATCTGTGTGGGGAATTTTTTTGCCCTTGCAAGAAATTCCCAATTGCGTGGATTCCTATTGGAATGACTGGATTTCGCCTGCAAAATTTTGCCAAACAACAGCAAATGTGACCGCACCTTTAGACCTTTTTTCCAGCCTGTCTTTCGAAATCAGGCTTATCATCACAATCAAAAGGACAGCACTTTTTAGCATGCAATGCAAGCCTCTCGGCTTCAAAACACTGATCTCTTCCAACTTAAGCATTAAAACCTTTTCTGTCCCAGTGTAAAACATGATAAGGGAATCTTTCTTTGAGAAATGTGGAGGTGGGACCCAGCTGAGTTTTTAAAATTACAAACAGATTTTGGATAAATTGCACAGGGTTCTGACCCAAAGCAGATAATGATCGCTTGTAAATGGAGTTAGTTTTAACCTCCCCTCTTCCTGTTTTTAGGGCATCTAGAATCTGGTTGGTTTTTATGATGTGGTAAAGATTCGTTTTAACCTTGCTGTTAAACTTCTACAGTTTTATTAATAGTAGATGGGGAATATTGATATGAAAAAAGAGGGATAGAGTGTGTTCATTATTTATCATATTTCACCTCTATTGCACCTCAAGGTTTTGGGCTTAAGTTTCTGCTGAACCGCTCCACAGGTAACCATATAAGTGGGAACTCCGATTATGGTTTGACATGTTACTAACATTCCTTAGAGGCCAGAGGATCTTGTTTTTCTGTTATGTTTACAGTTATGTATTAATATTTTTCATTAGTTTTCAGTAGGTTGGAAAAGATCAGTACAAAAACTCAATCCAGATTCTTTGGAGGCTTCAAAGATTTTCCACCGAGCATGTCATGAGCTAGTACTTCTGGATTCTGCTTCCTGTCAGATAATGTTTCTTCCTGCATTCAAGCACATGTGAAGCATGTTCAGGATGATTGGTGCCTACACACACCTCTCAGTCTTATAACGGTGTAGATATACTTCCTGTTTTAGTCAGTGACGGTGAAGCCCAATGGGGTCTATGGTCACCATGGAACACTGATTGTCATGAACATGCTGAAAAACGTCCTGTTTGTGATTGTAGGCATGCAGGAAAGCCTATCTGTGCACTCAGAACTCCAAGAGACTCGACTGAGTGAGACTAGAGGACAGTTGGTGACATTTTTTCACATATTTTATACATGAAAACTGAATGGACTGCATACGTTTGGAAATCAAAATACATGTGCTTCAAAAGAGTATTAAATGCTGGTTTAAACTAAAGTGTATGCAATCTCTTTTGTAATTGTGAAATGTAGTTTTCTTTTTGCTGGTAGAAGTTATGACTAAACTCCGGAGCTTCTAAAACTTTGGTTCTAAATTGGGGGCCTCAGTAAACTTCTAATCATGGCTTAAAATAAGACAAAACAAGCATTAACACAAGTTGCAATAACTAAAATTCAAGATATTTTTCTTGGAAGAACCAGGACATACGAAGGAGTCTAATTTAAAAGTTAGATTTTTTTTTTTTTTAACCTGGAAAGGTCAGGTAAATTAAAGGGGTGGTTGATTGCGATTTAAAATTTTTAACGTTAGTTAGTGTATAATGTTGCTGTTTGAGCATAAATGACTACAACAAGTTACTTCCCGGGTTTGTGACGTCACAAACCCAGATAAACCCCGCCCCCGGGAACATGCAACGAAGGGTGCGAGGCCATTCTGCGCTGCTTTAGAGAAAAGGAAATGAAAACTAGAGGTGCATGTAAAAATCTATTCATATATGAATCGCAATTCTGTCTTCTAACGATTCTAATGGATTCACAAGTTTCAAAATCAATGTTCTAAAGCAGCGGTTCTCAATACTGTTCCTCACGTTCCCCTGCTCTGCACACACTCTGTATCTCTCTCTCTTACTCCTTTTCTCTCTCTCATTCAGCTCAGCTCCAATAATGAACT